TTTCATTTTAACGATACGTTGTTCTTACTTTTTTCTAAGTAAAACCAAGAATTATAATAGAAAAATGTATAAATTTTTATTATACATTTTTTTATATACCTACTTTTCTTTTTCTATTAACTGCAACATTAAATGTTCTTAATATATTTTTTTTACTTTTTATAAGCGCTTTTTACTCTTTAAATCCAAACTGTCCTTAAATCTTAAAATAAACGGTCACACTAACCGTCTCCCTAGTGAAGATGCGTTCGAAATTAATCGCTTATATTGAACGCGTGGGTCCAAGCTTCCGACATCTGCTATGTTAATAATACATTTATCATAATCTAAACTAGATTTATTGTAAATGATTGATATTTATTTTATACTAGTTGTCGCCCGCGACTCTGTGTGGGATTAAAAAAAAACTTAATTATTAGCCTATTTGTTCTTCGAGACTATGTTCTACATCTGTGCCAAATTTCATCAAGATCCGTTAAGCCGTTCTGGAGATACCTTCAAACAAACATCCATCCATCTAAACATTCGCATTCATAATATTAGTAAGATTTATTTAATCTACACATATATTATATTAGATTATATTTATACATCTTTTAGATTAGATTTATCCCACATCTCGTAATAACTTTTTATTTATAGAATTGGGAAAAGACAATCTTCGAATATGACTCATTTTTGTTATACTTCTTTTTCCTTTACTGTTTTTTTTCTGAATGAACAAAGTCCAATTTTAGATATACCTAAAGAGCTTAGCTAAATAGATTCTACCCACGGTTACATCCAAAAAACACATTTGAATTCTCATATTGTGCGACATATGCTAATAATATCGATTACCTCATCCCTGTATATGGGAATATAATGTAGTAACGCAATTGAATTAGTTTTATTCAAGTCTTATGTCTACTTTATATGTTATTAACCGTCGTCCGCGACGCCATCCGAATTAAAAAAAACATAATAAGTAGTCTATGTGTTCTTCTAGACTATGTTCTATATGTATGTCAAATTTCATCGATATCTGTTCAGCCGTTTTGGAGATACCTTCAAACATCCATCCATCTAAACATTCGCATTTATAAAACTATTATAGTAAAATTCGTCGTTGTTGCTAATGCTAAATGTTTGCATATGTTTTATATATAAAAATTTCGTGTCACGCTGCATGTATGCGATAAACTCTGAAACTACTGAACCAATTCTTATCAAATTTAGTAAGCATCTGTAATTTGGTCTGCAAATTGGGAGATACGGTACTTTTTATCTCAAAAATATGACATTCCGGATGTAAAGTATGTTTTATAAATCTCGGAGTATAATGTAATAAGATAAAATTAATGCGACGACACGTCAAACGTCGAGCGACATACTCCGCGTCTTTTTTGTTCCTCGTACATCCAAGCTCATTATAAACTCTAGCCAATGTAACTTTTTTATAAAGAGTCGACTCAATATATTTCTAGTATCTATTGAGACGTTTCTATAAAATACAAATTATTTGCCAATAAAAGAAAATATAGTATGAATTTATTGTATATCCTTATTTCTATGTTTACATGAAGTCTTAAATCTATGATATAAAATAAAATATTATTAAAAAAAAAACGAATAATTCACTAAAATATTTTATTAAAAGGAGTCCCTTTAGGCAAAGTCCAATTGAATATATTAGTTTCTTGGATAAAATAATGAAATTTTGAACTCTGAATCACTATTTTTGTACATATCTATACCTACTGTAACGTTTCGTGTTCGTTAGTTTAACTGTTAACTTATTAGTTATAAAGAAATAATTAAAATAATTAAACGAGAACGGTTTTTTATGCATTCAATTATAACACAGCAGATGCGCACGTTACCCTTATAAAACAAATTTAAATTTAATCGGTTAATTCGCGTAAAAAGAACGGCAACCCTCCCCTTATGACAATCCACGTATCCATCTGAACTAAGTAGCGTTATACTAAAAAATATCCCCCCCAGGGGGTGAACGAGGGTAGGAAAGTAATTTAGGGTGATACATCCCCCTTTTAGTAATTACAGTGGGGGCGCATTGCGTACGCTTGAATGGAAGCCCGTAGAAACTTTGACGGGGAAATTCTTACAATTCTACAGGATGCCGGCTTGAGTTAGATATTTGTAGACGGTTTTTTTTTATAGTCGTTGTTTTGCATTGATATACAGAAAATATATGTAAATTTAGAAATGATGCGGGCGCCACATATCATATTTCCCTGTCTTTTTCATAACGTGGGGTTGACAGACATATTACTTTTGTGGAGAAAAATGTTTAACAAGAAAAACATAGTAAGACCCTTTGTACTAAAAAGCTAAGTAAATCTTCAAGACCCGGTAATTTAACTTTTTTTTTATAACAGAAGGGGGCAAACGAGCTGCGGGATCACCGAGGTGTTCAACGACCAATACCCGAGGAACCGCAGATGCGTTGCCAGCCTTTGAGGTAGTGATAAGCTCGGTTCTTGAAGAACCCTAAGTCGTAGCGGTTTGGAAATACCGCCGAGGACCGACCATTCCACAACGCTGCTGTGCGAGGCAGGAAGTTTCGCCCAAACCGCACGGTTGAGACCTAACTAATCTAACCTAACCTCATAACTCGCTAAGACTTAAGAGGTTAGGTTAGTTAGGTTAGTACACAGAGACAAGTCGCCGACATTTTATTCTTACGTCGCCAAAGTCAGTCGTTCGCCATCTGTTCATCAAGATCCTCTTGAGAATAGTAGCTACGATTTTCAAGATCGCGATGCCAATATTTTTGTAAATTTGTGTTAGTCGTGAAGTCTCTATGGCTGTAATAACCGAATAGACGACTCGCGTCAACGATTCAACGAAATTATAGATACCGTTTTAGTATCAAAGAATTTACGTTATCTTGTGTACGAAGGGCCACAAAAGTATGTATCAAATTAGTAGCCGTTTTGGACATATACGGAAGAATACAGTATATATACTAATATAGTATATAATAGTAAAATTATAAGAAGCAAAAAACATAATTAATGTATGAAATTCCATTAACTGATTTTGTAAATTCATTCCTGGAAACACAACTAAAAGTTGCGAGTGTGTGGTTGAAAGTTTGTTAATTAACTGTAAAGCGCATTTCGTAAAATACAGACGTTTGATGTATTTTGTAATTCCTCAGTTTTCTATATTAATTTAAGGTATAAAGTATTAGGTTGATCATTTAACTTGAAGAGAGATTAAAAAAGTTTATTTATATTTTATTATACAAAATTATTACTAACAAGGGTAATACTCTGCATATATAAATGTTACTTATTATTATTTAATTATTGCCTACTGATATTCATCATCAGCTCACTATACGTCCCCACCGAGGGTCTCGGAGTCTACCCTAAGTTAAGGGTGATTAGGCCATAGCCAACCACGCAGGCCAAGTGCGGGTTGGTTGACTTCACACATATCTTTGAATTTCTTCTCAGATAAGTGCAGGTTGCATCACGATTTTTTCCTTCACCGTAAGAACATCGGATAAATGTACATATGTAAATCGGAAATCGAAAAATTGGTACAGAGCGGGATTCGAACCCCAGGACCTGCAGATTGCAAGTCGAGTGCTTGACCCCTGAGCCACCGACGCTCCTCGATATTATAAATACGAAAAATTGAACAGATGTATGAATGTAACATTACGAATAAAACATAGATTATTTAATTTGAACTAGCTGCCGCAGGCGACACCGTCCGCGTAAAATTTAAAAAAACCTATTTAGTAGCCTTTGTTTTCTTCCAGACTACGTTCTATATCAATGCCAAATTTCATTGAAATGTGAGCCGTTCGGGATGTACCATCTAACATCCATACATCTAAACTTTCGCATTTATAATATTAGTAAGGAATTAAAAAAACTAAGTAACATATGTGTTTTACCAGGCTATGTTCTACATCTATGCAAAATTTCTGCGAAGTCTATGCAGCTGTTCTGGAGATAAATTAAAAGAAACATCCATCCATCTATCCATCCATCCAAATATTCGCATTTATGATAATAGTAAGATTGATTACATCACACGACGTGAAATGAAAGCTAGGCAAGACAGGCAATTAGCGCGGCTTTAATTAAGCAATTGTAGTGGGTTTAGTACATATCAGCGGATAGCGACTGAGTCCGACCTTAGGGTGAATATACTGCAACAAACAGACCACCGTAGTGTTTAACGGTTTTTTTAATTGTTTTTGTACATAAATCTAACTTAACCACCTATTATATTTATCTATCTTACTATATATAATGCTAGCTGTCGCCCGCGACTCCGACCGCGCGGAATTAAAAAACTTTGTTCTACATCTATGTCAAATTTCATCTAAATCCATGCAGTCGGTCTGGAGATACCTTTAAACAAATATACATCCATTTAACAATTCGCATTTATGTTTTTTTGTTTATATTTTAATTTAATATTCAGGTTTTAATATCGTTGTGTGTGCTCGTAATTTATCGTAGCTGTAATAAACGTCGCAATGAATCAGTCTTAATAAAACATGTTTGCTGTACTGTTACCGTGTCAAGAAAAGAGAAATAAATTGTAGAAAAAAGTTTATTTGTTAGGATTATTAAAAATCTTTATATTCGTTTTGTTTATTCGCTTAAAACACGGTCGTTAAAACCTAACAACATCGTTTCATGTCAAACAAAAATTAATAAAAGTTTAAATGAAAATAAAATAGACAGACAGACAGGATATGGTGAAGAAAAGGAAAAATTATAAGCCAAAATAGAAGATTTAAGTGCATGTGAAGGATATAAAATGAATATTTATGTTTACGGATTGTGTTTCATTTTACTGTAGTAGGAAAAAAACAATAATTGGTCAACCAGATTAAAAAAAATATCACTCTTGGTAAGAGCTTAATAATACCTAACAGTCTCTTAGTGTTTATTCATCATGGTAAATCTAGATATACTAACTCAGGAGTGTCAGTTTATAGTCAATTTGTTACTCCATTCGCATACCTTTATATCGACATCATGAAATGGGACAGCAAACCACGGCTTGCCGGTCAAGCTCCGTCGGAATCCCGTCTCCCTCTCGATAGGACCCTCCGGTGTCCCCACGTGAGCCCACAGGACCACCTGTACAACCTTCAACCGAGGATCAACCTTCTTATAAACATCTTCCAACCTAACCCCAAAATCATCACTTGTGTCGCTGATGTTTGCAAATGAGAAATAAATCCCACAAACAGCTCCTTCCCCATCTTCCACGCAGTCCGCCAATGCTTCCAATGTTGGCACATTCTCGAATTGGCCATTTTGTGTACCCGGTGAATCACATTTAACAAGAACTTTGCCGAAAAGTTTCTCCCGCCAATCCATTTTCGAGGCGATGAAAGTATTCGAAGTAATATCGAATATTCACTATTCACTTAAATAAATAACATTTCATAATAAACAATTGTGTTTATATTTTTTCTACCGGCTATAGTTAAATATCAAATTGAAGAAAAGCAGTCGAACTGGTTGCACTGCCGAGAATTTATTTTTGTTTGTTTAAATATTCACTTGTTAAAATGTATTCGGTAATAATTATAAAACTTGGAATGTTTATTCACTGTTTAAAAATAACAATGCACATATCCATTGAACAGGATATTGGTGCGCGCTAAATAAGTTTTATTTTTAAATTCGACATGCGCGCGGCAAAGACTCGGAGCAACGGCCGCACGCCTTCGTAAACAACGCCAGACTGCAGGAGGAGGGAAAATGAGGGATCCCTACGGCAAAGAGTAAAGCTCGTTACAGACATAAATTGGTCCCTGAATGAAAGGATACGATTTAATTTACACTTTTAACACTTAACCAATTATTGCATGCAATTTCTTGCATATTATTTTAGTTTCACTTTCGTGCCTACCCTTTTAATATTCACTGTAAAAATATAAAGAGAAATATGGGTAGTAGAAGGGAAGTGTTTGAATTTACAAGGACTTACTTATAATGTACAATTCAGAAGTATGTAAGTAGTATTTTTCTTTCGCTCTGGCATCCAATTTTATTTATATTAAAAAACGTACATAAAAAAGCTTGGTATAGGAAAACCTTGCTTTTTGTCCATGTTATTTCATTCGTCATGTTGTTTATTTTATAAGCCCTTCAAAAATTTTTGAGACCATCTATAGGATGTTGCTCTATGACAAAGCCTCTCATATCTCACGTAGAAGTCGGATTGCAAAGGCTTGAATAAATTCAGCTTGCGCCCAAACAATCCCTTGCCGAGGGCAATGCAAGGGCAAGAAACTTTGCATTTTTTATTTCTATTTGTATTTTAAGCATTTAAACACTTTGATTTGTGATGCAAGTATTCCAAATTCAAACACCACTTCCATTTCACTATTCGAAAATTTAAAAAGTTTCAAAACAAGCTAACTCTGTTTTGAAATTGTTTTGTTTTTAATTGTTTTTGGCTTTAAACACATTAGGGCTGTCAACAAGGTAAAAAGTAAATATTCTTTTATCAATAATGTAAAAAATAATAATACAGTAGAACTTATATGTCGCAACCCTGTAGTTTAGGGCCCTCGAAAGTTGACGCCGTGTGATTTATTATGAGAGTTATGTGAAATCGATAGAGCTTGCTTTCATCGTGTGCTTTTTATCCGTTTGTGACTATTCAATTATTGAGCTAATAATGGTAAATATGGATATTGTTTATCACTAGCTGTTAGCAGTGACTTTGTTTGGGTAGAATTAACAACATAAAGGTACTTTCAACATACGTCGTTTCGGATATGAAAAACAAAAAAAATATTCTGGTAAACGAGAAATGTTGTGGGTTTTTTATATCTAAACATAAAACTAAGTACGATTTAATATGAAAACTTTATTATAAAAAATAGATATACAAACGTTATAAAAACCAGGTAACTATTAAAAAAAATATTCTCATATCAAAAAGGTTTATATTAGAAAATAGTTGATTACGATAATGTATGCTTAGAAAATATATTAGTAAAAAATCTAATTAAAATATATCAATATATGGGATATATTGTTTGAATTTGTACTTGTGCGTTTGGATTGTTTTGATGTTTATCATGGTGTTGTATTAGAATAAATACACTTTTGACTGTGAATGTACGGATCAGTTTTCCGTTCTCCCACTGACCAGCGGTAACATCTCGTGGTATGTTTAAATCTTGTACAGGAATTGTAATATTGGATTTAGTATATTTTTTACCGTTTCTAAGTTGAGCGTTGTATCGATTTATTTGATTCATTTTTGTTTGGACGATTTTACTTTTAAGTACATGATCTAGGACATAACCTTCATCATCTTTAGTAAAGAAACCTGTAGGTGGTACATTCGTTGAAGGCTTATTTTCCACGCAAGTGGCGTTCTCTGGTACTTTCAGATTATCGAGGTTCTTAGTTGTTGTCTTTTTAATATCTTCAGGTTTCTGTTTAAGTTTTGTTCCCAGATAGTTATAAAATTCAGCATCATTGCCTTCATGGAAGTATAATTTCTGAGTTCCGCCTGGTTCAGAGAAATAACTTTCATGAGGATCCTTTTTATTCAAATTGAACTGGAGTACAATTGGATCTCCTTCGTACTGGCTGCCAGTTTTATACATCTCGCGACCCTTCTTATCTTTTACTATAATTTTCTTCCCGATGGCGTCTGAAACCATTTCTAGTCTAATTTTTGGATCCCCTTTGTATGAAATATGAATTTCTGGATGACCGGCATTTGTGTTATCAAAACCATGTTTTCCTTCTGAACTTGAAATGTATTGCATAGCATCCAAATAATTTTTTCCATAATAATGTGCTCCACCTTTCACATTGAAAACTGAATTTTGTGCTGTCTCGATCATTTTAATATCATCGAGCCGAGCGGCGACAACGTTTTGATTACTTCTCAATATGTTGACGGTGTCGGCCTTAAGTTGATTTGGATCTTTATTAGTCAATTGAGCAATGCAATTAAATGCGCACATGTTGTCTCCTGAACCCATAACGAAGGGTTCATTTTTACCGAGTAATGTGAAATGTCCAATGTTATCGTTTTGGCCGTGATACTGAAGTTTAATTGGCTCCCCGCCGTGATTATTGCGAACAGGAAACATAAGATCTCCGTTATGGTCATAAATTTCTATGGCAACATTAGCTGCCTTACTAAGGGCTCCTAAATGAAAAAGAGTTACTGGGCCTCCTGACTCGATTTGATCAATTAAAGCATTTACTTCGGCCAACTGTTCTTGACTTATTTGGGCAGTCGTATCGTCGGCACTAGTGTTTTCATAAAGACGATTATTATCATCGCAAATGCGTTTACCAGCTCTAAATTTCTCCGTTTCAGTCTCTAAAGATTTATTAATTTTAGAAGATAATCCATCTACACTGTAGTTAACCGCCATTTGGGTAATAGGTGAAACTATATTTCCTTTCATAATTTGAATCATGTTCGTCGAAACTAAACCAGCAAATTCACAAGACAAATCGCTGGGTGTACATTGCCTTCTAATTTGCTGTACTTGTTCATCTTGTACTTTTACTTTATTCAAATCGATATCATCATTATTACTATTAGATTGTTTTGTAGATTCTTCTACAATTTCTTCATTTTGATTTTCTTCTACACGATCGCAAGTTGCGCTTTGTTCTTTTTTTTTTAATTCAATTTTATCAATTGCTTCATTTAATTTATTTATGAAATCTATGGCAAACGTACTAAAATCAACCGAACCCTTGAGTATTGTCATTACTTTATAAACAGTTCCAAAACCTGTGTTACCGGCAATACAGCCAGCAGTGTGCACAGCCAAAGTTTGGAGTTTGCTATTTTCTTTGGGCTGCAACAACTTCTGCCCTATAGCCCTTATTTGATTTTCGTACGCGTGATCTTTATTTTCTACGTCTAATTTTAACATACTTATTACTTTTGAATTTTCACTAAGTGCGTTTTCAATAGGATCTCTTATAAGTTCAATAATAGCTTCCTCTATTAAAGGTATTAAGCTTTTATCGATGCCATAATTAACTAATTGCGTAACTATTTCCTTCGCTACTCCCTTTGATAACTCAAAACCAAGTTTCTTTGCGGCAATTTTAAATCCTTCTGATGTCACTTTATTAAAAGCTTTCATACCTGAAGTAACGACGTTCTTTACACCCGAATAAGCAGTTCGAGCAACGTCTTTGATTGCTTTAAGTCCGGCGCAAACGACAGTCACGGTTAAACTAATAACCTTCATTAAGGCCCACATTGCCCAATCGAAATCCCTATTAATTATACCATCTTTTACTGCTGTTATGATATCACTTATGCCTTCTGTTATAAGACCCATGCCAATAGTCGCTCCTGCGCCGAGACTAAAGACAGTTATGGCTGCGCCTATTATCAGTTGCCCAAATCCTATGCCAAGTAGACTGATAACACTTAGCCAATCTATGGGTTTCACTTCAGTTATTTTAAAACCTTTAAGCCAACCATTCATTTCAAACTCTTCAAGTTCTTGTTTATACTTTCTTAGGTCATCTTTTGATATAAAATCATCTGATAGAGGTTCTATTTTTATGTTGCGTTTATTTTCTATTGCTCTTCCAAGGACGCCGATATTTTTTTTATCTTCCTTCAGTTTTTTTGTTACTGACTTTAAGTTTTTTTTCAAATCCGAATCGTTCGTTTGTTCAATATGTGACTCTAGCTCTTTTAACTGTTGATTAATGGCGTCTTTGTCGGGTCCTATTGCCATTTCAATAACGTTTTTTTGTATGTTATAAAGACTCAATTTATTCATTATTTGTTCAGAAAACACATCACTGCTTGAAGCTGTTTGCATTAAATGTAAGCCGTTTTCTTTCTCACAAATTAATTTCCGAGCTGTTTTCAAGTCGCTGATCGCTTTATCTATATAATTTTGGTTTTTCTCTATGTTGTTTCCATACTGGCTTAAATAGGCCCAAGCGCGATTATAATAAGCATTTTCTGCGAAATCTTCATCTAAATTAATAGCTTTTGTATATTCGTAAATAGCATTGTCGTATTCATTTTTTTTCAAGTAACTATTACCAAGTTCCACAAAAAAATATGGATTTTTTATCAATGTCCCTTTTCTATCATCTTCAAGGATAGATTGCTTGAACTCTTCAAACTTTTCAAATATTCCAGTATCAACTTTATCAAATTCATCTTCGTGCATCTTTATCCAAAAAGCAAATTGTTCCTCCACTGATTTAAGCTCAGTTTCTTTGACAATCGAACTGCGCCCTTGTATTTCACTTAGACAATCACAGAATTGCCTGAAAATTTTATCCTTAACTTTAATCCTCTTTACAGTGTTTGTTGCCATTTTAATTTGAGATGTTTCCCTCTCTGAACGATTTTTTTTTATAACATCGATAGAGATAGAATCCTTGTTAGGAACAAATAAGATTAATTGACTTGTTCCTCTGTTACCGTTTCTTGATGTCCTGCCTATATTTTGTTCTTCTACTCTTGAATTCATTGGAAGAAATGTTAGGCATACGTGTAAACCACCATTTTTTTCAATTGTTTTGTGCAATTTTATATCAGTTCCTCTTCCAGCGATATTTGTCGTTATTATAACATCTCCTGGATTCATAGCTTTCTCAACCACATGGCTGTTATCGTCCATTGTATAAAGCTTTATCTTTGAATTTTTGTAATTAAATTGTTCTGTAAACACTTTGGCGAGTGCTTCTGTTTCTTTTATATAATTCATAATAATTAAAGCTGAACGGCCCTCATTTAGCTTCTGGATACAATTTTGTGCAATTTTATAAAGCCATATTTCCCTATTAGGTACAATAATAGGCTTGAGTTTCTTATGTTGTTTAAGCTTGAAGGGAGGAATAATAACAGAGTCAACATCGTAAGTTTCATGTAAGAATGTCCTCGTTTCTTTACTTCCTAGAGTACCAGTCAAGCCGAAAATATTGGAATATCGAGAGAATAACGCAACGTTAGATATAAAATTAGATGTAAAGTTCTCCGCCGCCACTTTAGCGCCATGTTTCATTTGCAAAAATTGATGTAAGCCATCAGACCAAGTGGTATTTTTTCTCAAAACTCCGGTATTGTTTGTATCAACTACTGTAACTTTTCCATTATAAAGAACATAATCTTCATCTTGAGCATAATTGAATATTGATTGCACAGCGCTAATAATCCAACTGTTTAGTTGTTTTTTAGTAACAATATGTCGTAAGTGTTTTGGAATTTTTAATTCTGGATAGCCTTCTTCCACAGTTTCGTTTTCAGTATCGCGTATCAACTTTCGTATATGAGTAATAGTACATCTTATTATAAAATCTCGTTTGCTTTCTTCAATTGGAATGTCTCTATATTTAACTTCTGCTTTAAGGTCTCCATTTTCCTCGAATGATTCATCTTCTTCTCTAAAATAAACGACTCCATTTTTTTCTATTAACGCACTAGCTACGGCTTTGACTTGAATATAAATTGCAGCTAATACAGTTTCCAAATGATCCATTGCTGGCATATCGCTTGTCAACTTTAAAATCCAATTGTTTCCATCAATGAGCATATTGTCTACTTCGTCAACTATTGCAACGTCGAAATTTCGCTTTTTTCGTATATTTGTTTTTCTAAATTCGCCACTGAGGACGTCTCTTTGAAATGAATTATTAGTTCCGTAAATTACATCACAGGTATAGTCAGAATTTGGATTGATGTTATTTGTAACTGATATGTTACAGACTTCAAAGAATTTGGTAAATTCTAAAGACTGTGGGATAGCTAAAACTGGCGAACTGGTATAAATGTCAACCGTATGTCCTTCTAAGACTTTGAAAGCCGCTACCATTGCAATAATCAATGTTTTTCCTTCACCAGTGTTGACTTGACACAACCTGCCTTTACCTACATTGGATTTAATAATAGCAATCACGACGAGCAGTTGGACATCTCTCAAGCTTAATCCGAAAGTAAGATTGAGTAACCGTTTGAGAACCGCCAATTTTTCAGCCTCATTTACGTAAGCTGCTTTTGCTAAAGGGGCCCATAGTTTTATGTGGCTTTTAGACCATGTATTGATACAATCATCGTTTGGAAAAAGGCAGGATCTTCTTTCATATGCATCAGTAACTTCGATAAGTAACTCGATTATATTTAAAGTGAGGCCTGGATTAAAATTTTCAATTTCCTCGATTGCTTGTTCAAGAGATTTTTCATAAGTGCCTGAGAAAGATCTTTCTACGACAGTTTGATGCACTTTATGTTTACAGTTTTCAGATGTGAAATTTAAAATTAAATCATTTAATTCCGATTCATCTAAGTTTACCTGATATTCTTCAAGTATTTCTAAAGCACTAATAAGCTCAACAATGTGTTTAGAATTGTTGATTTTTGCGACAACGGTGTTGACGGTGTCAATAATTATTTCAGCGTTGGTGAAATGTATCATTAAATTAGCCAATATACTATTTAACGAATACATTAAATTGCAACATTCTGTGGTCTTATGTAACTTACAATTTACTTGGGGATCGAAACACCTACATTCTATACATACTTCAATGGGTTTGCTGGCATCTTGATTACCTTTATAAGAATTATAACACGTAAAAAAGGTACCTATTATTCCTTTTATAATATGAAAAATTAGTTTCGATTTCGATATATTCAAATCATCTTCGAAATTGATAGCGACCAAAAAATCATCTCGTTTTTTTCGTTCAAAACCACTTTTCCTTAGCAATTCGACGAATGATATCATTTGCTCAAAATTAGTAGATGATATGTTACTTCCGAGTTCTAGCATGGCCGGATATGGAAACGTTAAAATATATTGTAAAGTATCAAAGTAATTTTCCGATAAAAGATCCGCAATACTACAATGTTGTAGAAATGATAAATATTTTAACTCATTAATTTTTTCCTCAAATAAAGCAGCATCTCGCCCTAGGATGTAAAATATTTCAGGTCGCAAACGTATTACTAAAAATACTTCCAAAGTCAAATAAATATTTAACTTTGGGTGACAGATTAATTTTTCTAATACATCGTCTACATTCCAATGGAATCCATTTACTACAAAAAACTCGTCTAGTTCCTCAATTGCCTTTGTCATGACTTCGATCTTTTCTATTTCAAGAGCATCATTTTTTTTAAGCAACGAAAATAATAATAATTTTCTACGCCAGTAATGTGGACTGAACTGTTCGAATAAAGAAAACGTGAAATCACTTTCACATAAACATATTAGAAATGATTGCAACAATAGTAATTTCTCCTTAAGCGACGAAGTTGAGTTCATAAACTCATTTAATTTTGCTATACCTTTGTTTCCTATTGATTCTGAATTAAACAATTGTAAAGACGAAATTATACTATCGTAAAAGATAAGGACAAATTCATCAGAAAACGTAAAAGAAATTTTACTAAGACATTCAAATGAATATCGTTTCCTTTGTAAAATTTCATCCAAGTGGCATACATTTTCATCATCCAACGCTGTGATTTCCAAACAAGATACAATATGGTCATCAACTACACCGCTTATTTGGCTGACTACCACTTGATCGTGAATAGCTTTTAACATATCCAAAGATAAAACATCTGGTTTTTCCATATTGATAATTAAAAATAATATTTCTTAAACTTAATACACATAAGGAAAACTTATACACTTACACTAATCAATAGGTAATTTAAAACTAAAATCAGAATCTTCACTAGAGTCTTCTAAAACCCTCGTAGCTCCTCGTTCTAGTAAAAAATTCGCTACATTATCATGCTTATTATTCATTGCCATAACCAACGGGCTCTCTTCCAGATCATCATTATGGTTGATATCAGCATGGAATTCATCTACTAAAACACGAACCAGATCGTAGTATCCGTTAGTTGCTGCAACTTCTAGTACAGTACGGTTACTATCACTTCTATCTTCAGTGTCCACATCTAAACCGTTTTCATTGATCAGTCGCGTTACCTCTGCGATATCGTTGGCTCTGGCCGCTTCAAATAATGCTTCAACTTCTTCTGTATTCAAATACGGAGCCGCGTATTCAGAATTATTTGATCCTTTTTGTATGAGAAACTTGACTATATCAATATTTCTGTAATCTGTAGCAATTTCTAAAGGTATTTGTCCTCGTAAGTCAGTTATATTGATAGATGCGTTGAAGTTGTTGATCAGAAGTTGCACCAGCTCAATATCGCCGTTGCAAGCAGCTGTATGGAGTGCGGTTCGATCGTAGAAAGTTGGATTTTTAAGATCTACATTGATTAAACCTGATGATAGCAAACTTTCAACTTTACTTGTATCACATTCGTCGATAGCGTCAAAGTATTCTTTTGCTGTGTCCGCAGGTAGGGAAGACATCACACCTGTAATAAAATAAACTCTAGTTATTATTAGCGTGCGAACAATTCTATAATAGATAGATTAGTTTGTTTTTAATTCACAACATAAATGAAATTCCTTCTTTTTATGCCAACTTTATTCTTCAAAATTACGTAAAAAAATAAAATATTAAACCAAAAATTGAGATGTTGGGAAACAAAAAGAACTATTATTAATGTTTTTTTAGTTAATTGCGCGAGATATATTATAGCTAAATATCTTTAGTAAAATCAAAAAATAATAAAATACATAAGTTATAGTATTTATTTGTTCGATTAATATTTTTACAAGACCGATTCTCGATAGTTCATAGTTGTTCGTAATGCGCGTACGGTCCAACACTATGACAACCGTCCAAGAAGTACAACATTAATCCTCATATTAAATTAATTCGATATTTTATAGACGTCAGTTATCAAACTAATCTATCTATAGACACACTATAGAATCCTTTGGTGCAAATGGCGCGCTTTCGTTACCGAGTCAAGTGTCAGAGTGATTAGTGAGGGGACATAAACGTCGACTTTTTAGTAAGGCTAGTGTTGCGCCACACCGGGCCAGTATCGGATTTTCTTCCTAACAATACAAATAAAATTCTTATTTTCGTAGTATCAGTATCTCGATAAATATGATTCTACAGTATGATCACATATAATCTCTTCTTACACCATCATAGTCCTGTCTTACTCGAATAAAACACTTAAATCTTTTACAGCACTTGTATGATAATTCTAATATTCTTATCTAAACTTCTTCGTTAATAAAGGAGTTGCATCACAGATAATTTATTTATAATACAGATAAGTAATACCATAAACTCTTGAATATATGATACGATTTGATCTTTGTGTATGACTTGTTACTTTGTTGCTAGATAAATACACGATATTAGTTTGTCACTGACTAACATAGTCTATTGGCAAGTCCCTTATTTAATAGGATAACGTCGCCCGCGACTGTGTTCGGGCGAAATTAAAAAAAAACATAATTAGTCGCATAAGTGTTCTTCCAGATTATATTCTAATTTAAAATTTCATCGAGATCTGTTCAGCCGTTCTGAAGATACCTTCAAACAAACATCCATCCATCCATTCGCATTTATAATAATAGTAAGAAGTAAGATTTCTATGGTAAGTTCTTTACGAGACAAATGAGCAACGATCAGTTTACGTGAAGAAGACACGCGTTATACGAGTGGACGCCACGTTATTGCGAATGTTCAAATTATGAGCGTTCGTGTATTGAAACCCGAATAGATCTAATAAATACAAACTATAAAATGCCAATATTAAAGTAATAAAGAAATAGAATTGTATGAAATTTACCTCGTATTAAACCTGGATATACTCAGTCGAGCGCAGAACTCCGATTGTGCTCGTCTCAAGGCTACAGGGATTGCTGAAATGTAAACATACTTCAGTTACTTTAAACAAACGTTGCAATTTATTATTCCATATTTAGCGCTCAATGCGTTACTGCGGCGTAGCATCTTCCCCATTGTTAGTTATTTAATTGATCGATTGCAATAATTCACACCGTTAAAATTCACACTCACACAAAGACATCTTAAGCGCTATTTGCATAAATTTTGCACAATATTTTACCACAAATCAAATAATATAACTACAGTAAACACAAAAATATCCCTTAAAAAATAAAAACCGATAGCCGAAAAACAAATAACAAAAAAAATGTGCAAATAAAATTTTGTAAATCTAGATTACATACATACCAAAGGTTCAAGGTCACACAACACACGTGCATATACGAGACGCCCGGCGCAGAAATGACCAATGGCTGGCGGCTAGCAACTGACAGGACTTGCGGGAGATGCGGGGCGGCCGCGGCGCGCGCACTTCGGCGTCGGCGCAACTTATGTGATGCGTGGTGTGGTTTGCGCTATTTTATTCCTGATGTCATGTTTCTGACTTATCTATCTATATGCAGTCGTTTAGATGCTAAACAAACGAACTTATAACAATAAGCACTTGTTGAGCGTGCGTTAGACGTATCATTTCCTACGAACGATAATGTATGTTTGTACGAGTACCAATCAAGTACGAGTATTATGATATCACTAGTTAATGCTAAATACCTACGAAATATGCATGAATACATTAAATATCATTGTAATTTTACTAATGTTACTGAAGTTAAGTGATAGAGCCCTTCACTTATATTTTAGTATGTACAGTATTATATTTAAAAATTACATTCATTTGGGCAGCGCGGGTTTCAGATACCAAATCTCTGTACAAAACATATCGTCGTCCCTGTTATTACTTTTGACAACACAGAGATAACAATATGTTTCAAACAGAGATTTTTGACTCGGAAACCCGCGGTGAGATAGATGATATTATGATAGGCATAAAGACCTTGCAAAGACCGCCCATTCTATTCGTTCGCGTCGACTGCTTAAATTTTCGCGCGGTTTAAAAAGTGGGACAATTTGGCGTCCCGGCGTCAATGTCGGGGATACCGGAACTCGTAACTGTAAAACGGGACATTCCCGTTTAAAACGGGACGTCTGGTCACGTCTGGTCATGATCTTGTAGAACTATGCATCTTCATCATCAGCTTCTTTTATATGTTCTTTGTCTATGAGCTTATTATTTTGACTTTGAAATTGTCATTTTGACAGTTTTATACACCTATTCTCATTTGAATTGAGCGTTAAGTTAAAATAAATCTTCACAAATAAATAACTTTTAAGCGCAAACGACTTACAAAATTATTGTATTATGTAAATTTTGGAAATCATGAATTACTTTTGTGTAAATATCAATTTTCAGGTATAATCATGGATAGTAGAACATTACGAAGTATAACAAACGGATACACAAATAAAAACATTGATTGTATTGACGACTTATGCTATGATTTATACGTATCATCACACCCAGAAGAGAATCATAATGATTGTCTGGAGGATTTGCCTGCGGTGGACATGAACCTGTCATATTCAGGTACGGTAATCGTCATTTGCATGCCTTGATCGAGACTTATTTTCTACCCGAAGTATAAAATCAAACGTAGAATACGGATTTTAAATCATCACAAAAGATCACAGACAAATCTTTATATTCAATTTTACATTTTTATAAAGAACCTCAGCTATATACTTTTAAATGTATATTATTTAATACTTCATTACCATATTCAAGACTATTGTTTTTTTTCTTGTAGGTTCAACTTCAAATAGCGGGTCCGAACAATCAACAAGGAAAAATACAAGAACGAATAATGGTAAAATTTGCGCTTTGAAGATAAAAATATTAAAATCTTTGTTGGCTTAATCTGTAATTCTTTCTTTTCTTTGCTAAACATGTACCTTATGAGTATATTTTTTAAATTATTTACTATTTTAAATACATTATGTTGCAAAATTCTTCTTATTCAGTAACCAATTTAACAGTGGTAAAGACGCTTTAACATCATCACACGAATTAGCCCGGCTCACCTGGTGAAATACCACGACCACACAGAAGACAGGCGTGAAGTGGAAGCAATTCCGCGTTTCGTTTGATGAGTGTGAGTCCCGGTGGCCTAATTTAGTCCTCTTTCCCTTCCCACCCTTTTACTTATAAGGAAAGGGTCGGAAGTGGAAGTGGACTTTCCGGATGAGAGGATACATGGCAGGGGAAGATATTTTCTTTCTGTGCATCCTCTCCTCCGTTGATTAAAAGTAGGCAACGCATATGCAAATGTGTACGTCTATGGGCAACGGTCATTTCGCTATTTCAGCGATTTCAGGTGTCCGCTCGCTCGTTTGCCACCTTATGATATAAAAAAAGATATGTTTTTTATATTATAAGGTGGCAAATAAGTGAGCGGCCCCATGAATTTGCCAAAATAGTGAAGCGATAGCGCATAGACTTCCACAGTTGTATTTCTTGCCATAAACTGTCTTAGTGATTACTATCTAATGTTTTAGGAATTATTGGTTTACAGACAAGGCAGTGGAGGGTAGTAGAAATAAAAAATCTGACAGAGAAAGCGCCAAGCAGAAGACAGCCGTAGAAAAAGCTGCAAAGAAGCAGATGCAAGAATTAAATAAGATTTATAAGCCTGGTGAATGCATGAAGGTAATAATTTAAAATTGATAACACAATGCCATAGAGGTAGATTAATTATTGAACCAAATATGATAACTTTTTAGCTCTATGAACATTTATAAGACAAAAGTTCTCTCTTTGCTCCAGACTTCTCGATTACCACACTTACAACATTCATTTATAAAAAATTGAGTTTTAAATAATTTTTATTTTATCATCAAAATATTTTGATAAATGGTTTAAAAATGGTTAAAGTTTACTGTATAAAATACAAATTTTTTACAACAGACTTATATTAGTTCTAGTTAGAATGCCAAAGGGCTCTTATGGTTTGGAGGCAAGTCTCTGGAGTACAAATACTGTTTAGAAAGTATTTAGTCACATATTTAGGGAATTACATTTCATTAAAAAAAATCCTAGTATCATGATACATATATGTTAACATACATTTTTCACAGTACATGCAAGTAGAGGTGCATCCATCTTTCTTGGAAAAGTGGTATGCGGGTGACATAGAACGGGAAATGTCACCCAGTGGTGCAAAAATTGTCACCTCTTTAGAACTATTTGATCCCAGTCTGGTTCTGTGGAAGAGAAGTGTACCGCAAACATTGGTTTCTAAAGATGGAGAAGTAAGTATTTGTAAGACTAGTAAAGAACAAAACATATGTTAAAACATTACTGACCAGAGTCAGTCATGTCTGATTTTGTCCGACTTTAAGAAATACCAGTGACTTTAAAATTGACTTATTCCTGATTGACGATGATTTTTATTTAAATTATAATGAAATTCATCTTTTAATATTAGTGTAAGTTTGTTTGGTAATCTAACTTCATACTAATATTATTAATGTGAATGTTTAGATGGATGGATGGATGGATGTTTGATCTCGCTGTAAATTGGCATCATGTCAGGATCATAGTCTGGAAGAACACATAAGCAACTTATTAAGTTTTATTTTAATCCTGCGCGGTCAGAATCACCAGGGACAGTTAGTAATTATATAATTTTAAATTTGTGTTCTATTTGTATAGTTTTTGGGTCATAAGGTTGGTATAGAAATATAGCTTTATTAAAATACTTTATTCACAATTCCAGTTAGATATAACACCACGTCACGAAGTCAGTGATCGTGGGCTCTATGTGATGATAGCTGCGGACGCTGCTCAATACATATGTGAACACAAGTTGTCACAACACATTGCTACTGTCAATGAGATAGCTAATGTCAAAGTGACACTTGTTATATTTGGTGAACAGGAATATTTCAAGTAAGTTACTACAGTATAATCTCACTAATCCGGCACTTTGATACATGGGTACGTCCAATAATCCGGCACCCTCTGCCTCTATACCTGTATGCTTTGGTCGCTGAGTCGTCAACTAGCAGTCTAACCTCAAAAAATTTTCAAGTACAACTGCACATAAGCCGACCTCAATTTATGATTATTTTAAAATTAGTTAATTACATATGTACCTACATGTTAATCCAATACATTTATTTCCTCTATAAAATGCTTTATTTTATACCTTACCGATGACTTTCACTATAATCCAGTAATCCGAACATTCCAATAATCCGGCACCCTTCGGTTTATAATAATATTTCAGCCACATGCAATCTTTCATCCGAAAAGAATGTGGTATTTAGATGTTCTTGTAGGATTAAATTTGTGACTATTTTTAGAACTGCATCAAAGAAAAGAACGAACAATCAGGTTATGAGCGAAGTGGATTTAGAAATGGCTATCTCCGGTAAGATAATAAATAAGTCCCTTTACAATCCCTTAACGTGAATTTCCCGGACTAATGCAAAAATTTTGTGCCTAAGTTAAAAGAAACATAAAATGTACATAATGATTTAGACTATATATAGTGATATAAATTTAATTAGTAGCCTATGTCTTCTTCCAGACTATGTTCTACACCTAAGCCAAATTTTAGTGAGATCCATCTCTTCATCCATGTCTTCAAACAAACATCCATCCATTCAAACATTCGCATTTATAATATTAATAAGATATCATTATTCTGTTTCAGATCTGCTTGTTAGTACAGGATGTGATACAGTTGTGTTGAATCAAGCCAATGAACTTGCATTACTCATTTTGCAGTTCACTAAAGCGATAGCGGAAGCACCATACAAGTATGTATTATTGCATTGAATTGTATGACATACTAGCTATCGCCCGCGACTCAGTCCGCGCGTAATTAAAAAAAATACGAATAGCCAGAATATGTTCTAACACAACTATTGTAAGTATACAGATCAAACCGGACTAAACGATGGATAACAAAATGAGGCAATATTCTGTTAATAGTCGACAAGGTTTAGAAGGTAGAACCTGAACCTCATAATAAATGAGTCAACATCCAAGATTTTGGTCGCTATAACGGATGTTGTTTTGATCGCGGTCGTTTTAAGCAGTTTTTTGTATGTTTCAGACAGTTAAAACGCGCTTGCGACGAGCAAGCAGACTTCTACATGCGCGGGGATAATAAGAAATGCGTTTCAGTGGATAAAGAAGGTAATTTACTAAGTTATTTTTCCAGAAAAAAATATAATAACTGACTTTAACATTTTAAATACTTTTAACATTACATTTTTTTAAAGGTAACGGATTGAGTTGTTTATGGCAGCAAATGCTAGCGGTGTTGCCACAAAGCAGCCTGGAGACATCGCGTGCTCTATGCGCACAGTACAAAACACCGTTGGACTTGTATGAGGTACCCAATATTTTTATTAATGCTTAAAATATCAAATTATCGTGTGAATTCTATTCGATTTATATTGCAGCGCCATCTTTTACCAAATTAAAGCAAAAACTAATGTAAAAAAATCATACAATTTTCCTTATTATTTTAGACTTTGAAGCTGCCAGAAGGTGTGAAGACAGTGGCAGAATTAGGAGTGACTCGCTCGGCAGTCCCAGGCAGTAGAGCAAGGCGGATTGGTCCTGAATTTGCGAGGAAATTACACACCCTAATGACTGCCGAAGATGGAAATATGTTAATTGAATGATAATTGTGTATTTAAAATTGTTGACAAATAAATATTTTTAATGCAATCTTATAAAAGATATAATAAAAATTAGTTCGTGGTTTCCTTTGCTAAATAACCGTATACACGACTGCTAGCTGCTACGTTTCGAACTCTCCATCCTAGGATATTTCTTCCACGTACAAAATGGTTCAACTTTTATTATCTGGTGCTGGTATTGATAATACTCATCATTACTGTCAGTGTCACTCACTGACATTGTCATTTTCAAACGTCAAAACAAATAGTTTTTAACCTAGTAAATGCATAAGAATAAAGTTTGATTTTGTAGTTTTTAAGTGTATTACTATAATCTTAATGTTAATTGTTCCGATACATATATAATCATGTCAGTGTATTTAACAAGAATTGCCGTTAGTGCGATCCGAAACATTTCCAATAAGAGTTTCACACTTTCCAATGTAGTCGAATTTTCGCCGGTCAAATTGTTTTTGAATAATAGAAGTGATGTATTTAATTTATCGCGACAGTTAATAGTAAGAAATTTCACTACCGATACCATCCAACCGGTAGTTGCTTTAGAAAACGCCAGTATACCTTTGAAAAAGAAGACAGCGCACAAAAAGGCGGTACTTGAGGATTTAACGAAGAAGGAAGGACATTATTTAACTTTTGCTTATGCAACAGCAAATTCCTACGATTTGAAAGCATTAAAGGAAGCTCTAGTACAACAAAAACTTTATGAACCGGGAAAGTAAGGTTACACAAAATATTGTAATTTTTCGTTATTATGACGTAATTACCTGATGTTGTAACATTTATTTTTAATTTAGTCAAACTGCCGAAATTAATTTAAATTAACATTAGTAAGCAGCAGTAATTAAATATTAGCAGTGGGGTCAAAATCATTTATCAAATCAACAAAAGAAAACATAATTGTTGGTTACATTATTTTGTTTGTCTCATGTCTGTCATGGAGAGACTATGGATTTCTTTAGGCTTGTCTTGATACACCTTTTCCAATTAATACTTCTATGGATACTCAATGACCATGGAAACAATTAATTTTTTTTAAGGTTAAAGGCACATGAAGTGGGAGATGTTGTAATTGCAAACCCTGTCTACACAATAGGTACTGAACCCAGAGAAATAATCTTTTTTAAAGAGGGTGCAGTTGTGTTTTGGAATTGTACAGAATTGGAAGCAAGCAATGTTTTAGATTTTGTTAAAAGGTTTGTATGTGATATAACCACAATTACATATAGATCTTTTAAAAGATAATCTATAACCCAATTGGGATACATTGTTTTTTTTTTAATATTCCAGGTATGAAATAGAAAGTTATCCAAAAGATGTTGTGGAAAGAGAAAGAGAAGTGATGACTTATGTATATCAACCAAATGTGTGAGTATATTTTCAAATTATTATTTACTTATATACATGTATTTATTTAAAACTTTATATTTACTGTATAAATAATAATATTATTCCGATAGTTATATCTGTGAATGGACTGATTGTGAAGAGCTTTGATCATCTTAAGAAGATCTTACTAAACAGTAGGATTAATGCCTGGTACACAGTGCAGTTATTTTAGAAACTGTGGACATAGTGAGGAGATTTCTGGCTCTGTAGCCCTGACCACTGGTTGATTAAGGAATGAGATTCCACAGCTGGTGGTGATCTATCTTACTAATATTATAAATGTGAATGTTTGGATGGATGGATGTTTGTTTGAAGGTATCATCGCCACATCTTTATTGATCTGGATGAAATTTGACACGCATATTCGGAAAGAACACATAGGCTACTAATTATGTTTTTATTTAATACAGTGCGGATGGAGTCGCAGGCAACAGCTATTTTTGTATATTTTATAATTTTTTTTAAAATCTTATATTTAAAATTAAAAATTAATGAATATTTTTAGTAAAAAAAATAATATTTGTATTACAGTAAAAAATGTCACTTGCAAGAGTCCTGTTTCGTTTTAGTACCAGACAGAGATAATTCTTTAGAAAAGTATAGTTTTAGGTGAGTGTAAACATATTTCTTTTTTTCTTATTAAATATATAATTTTCAATCTATCAGAGATAAATAAAAACTGTAGAGAGAACTGCAAACAATACAATAGTAATCTTACTAATATGCGAAAGTTTAGATGGATGGATGTTTGTTAGAAGGTATATTCAGTACGGCTGAACAGATCTTGCTAAAATTTGCCATACATGTAGAACATAGTCTGGAAGAAAACATAGGCTACTAATTAAGTTTTTTTTAAATTCAGAACTGACTAATTCACGTGCAACAACTAGTTAATTTATATTTACATTTCATTGTTGTTTTTGAATCTTTTACTTGTAATTTTATTTGTATGTTTCTAGTCATGCCATGGCTCAATCAGCTCGACTAGGGGCTTGGGAAGCACGTTTGGAGTCCTTAGCTGCTTCCGTGAGAGAACATAGTGCGATCATGGAAAGGGACGGAGCTACTTATGTTGATAAGAAAGAAGTAAGTACTGATACTAAATAAATTCCAGCTTGATACCTTCACGTGTTTTTGAGAAAAAAGCTCTTGACAGACAGACGGACAGACAACAAAGTGATCCTATAAGTGTTCCGTTTTTATCCTTTTGAGGTACAGAACCCTAAAAATATACATTAAATTCTTATTTATTAAATCCATAACTTATTGATACTAACTATACCCATAGTTACTGCACCAATAATTTAACCATAAATTTTGTGAATTTATGGTTAAATTATTGGTGCGGAGTGGGAACACCAAAATCTCTATATAAAACATAACATAATTTCACTTGTTTTTGATGATTGATGATTTTGGTCTCAGAAACCCGCGGTTAGATATGATACAATGGTGACATCCTTAGTTTGTAATTCTTGCATAAAAGTCAAATAAAACAACAATTTTTTGTGTACAAATATTTTATTTAAACTTTTTTTATTATGAAGACAGATTGATATAAAAATTTCTGATAGATTAAAATTGTTAATACCAGTAACATCTTTACTAGCGCCCTGGGCGAGATTTATAGAACACCCCTTTAATACCATGCATTTAGGGAGACTGAGATAGTAATTTTTAGACCTATGGCGCTCCTTTGTGTCTAGCGCCCTGAGCGTTAGACCTCCACATCCTACACTAATGCCATGGGTATTGCATTACTTTGGCCTTGCTTATATGCGTAGGAACAGAGGAATTAAGTGGGTATGCTTTCCATCTGGAAGAGAAACCCACATCACTGCATCCCGGGTGCGGAGTATGCTTAAGGATTCCTCTGAAAAAAGAAGAGTTTTGTATTAATTGTTAAAATAATGTTTATTTCAGGTAGTAAGGAAGTTAGGGGAACTTTTTTCATTGCGACATCGACTCAATGTGGAATCTGATTTATTGGACACACCTGATTTTTACTGGGAAGAAGAAGAGTTAGAGAGATTGTATTCTAATACAGTTGCTTACTTCACCATACCTAGGCGAACAAGGGTATGTTGCATTATAAATATATCAACCTATGCAACGAAAAGAGTTATATATCATAAGATGTAACTCTTTTCGTCATATGACTTCAATTTGCACTAGGTGTAATTTAATATTTATGTCAAGGTTATTAAGGCATTACATTGGCTTCTGAGACAATTTTTTTTTGATTTAAATGCAAATTTTGGTCTCGGAAATCACTTGTGTTCTACATGCATGCCAAATTTCATCAAGATCAGTTCAGCCGTTCTGGAGATACCTTTAAACAAACATAAATATCAATATTTCCATTTATAATAATTAGTAAATATAAATCATAGTCTCTAACAAGTTTAAACAGAACCATAAACACTTGACATTGGCCCAATCCGATGAGGGAGAGCCATAAACAAGAAACAGAACAGAAATATAAATCGTAACAAAGCTATTCGCTAGTGGAAAAAGGGTCTAATAATATTTCTATATATATATATATATATATATATATATATATATATATATATATATATATATCTATATAAAATATGATGCAACCTGCACATATCTGAGAAGAAATTCAAAGATATATGTGAAGTCAACCCGCACTGGGCCAGTGTTGACTGCCTAGTCCCCCCTAACATAGGGTAGGCTCCGAGCTCCCCAGTGGGGACGTATGAGCTGATGATGATGATGAATATGTCTATATTAGGTACTGAACGAGCGTCTTTCCCATTGCGTGGAACTGTTAGAATTGCTCTCCTCGTGGGCAGCTGACAGACATCACGTCCGTTTAGAATGGATGGTCATAGCGCTCATATTGGCTGAAGTCTGCTTCGAACTGCTGCATTTCTTCGAGAGGTATTTCATGAGGCATGATAGTAGTTGAGTTGTAAGGGAATATGAACCTTATGTGTTTGGGTTAAGATTTGAAATTGTTATTAAGGAATTAGAATTGTGCTTTTATTTAGTTTTTTATGTTTCATATGTAGTAAAGAGTTATATCTCTTATGAGGTCTCTTAAAAGATGTAACTGTTTTCGTAAGATAGGTCTATCTTATAGTGTTTTTTATAGATTATAGATTTGTGTAATTTTAGTATATATTTTTTTTATATCATAAGGTGGCAAACGAGCGAACGGTCACCGAAATCGCTGAAATAGTGAAGTGACCGTTGCCCATAGACATACGCAATTGCATATGCGTTGCCTACCTTTAATCGACGGAGGAGATTATGCACAGAGAGAAAATATTTTCCCTTTCCATGCATCCTCTCATCCAGAAAGTCCACTTCCATATCCCATGCTTTTCATATAAGAAAAACTATGGGAAGGGAAAAAGGACTAAATTAGGTCTCCGGGACGCACACTCATCAGACTGTACGCGGAATTGCTTCCACTTCACGCCTGTCTTCTGTGTGGTCGTTGTATTTCACCGGGCGAGCCGGGACAATTCGTGCGAAGATGTTAAAGCGTGCTCTACCACTGTTAAATTAATAACTTAATAATAATAAATTATTACACTATTAGTAAAATTAATTGGGACGTTTATTTATAACTATAGATTATTATTTAATTACATAAATAATATTATAATTATATTATAAATGAATTGAATATA